GAATGCTTACATTTTTCTAGGTAGTCTTTCTTGCCGTTAGATCTTACTTCTTCCTATGTTTGATTGCTCGTCAGTCTGTTCTTATCGACGGCGAGCCGCCAAAAGACGATAGTCCGGTCAGTTTTCGTGTAAAAGCGACTGGAATCCAAAATTCAGTGTTTTCTTTCAGGTCTACCCCTTAGTACCTTTTGCCATGACGGCCTTGCAGTTCATATTTTATGTGGGATGGATGAAGGTAGGACAACCTTCAAAAAATCAAGGACTTTAAAAAATTTTGCAGGTAGCAGAAAGCCTCATGAATCCACTAGGTGAAGATGACGACGATTTTGAGTGCAATTATTTGATCGACAGAAATCTCAGGGTAATATAATGCATTCTATTCGTTCAACGAGAGGTAGCGAAATTTAGGTTGGCTTGACTATAGTTGACGATTGTTATGGCGATCTCCCTCTCCAGCAGAAAGATAACTTCTGGGGTGTAGGTAAGTCCGGTCTTCCAGCAGTATCCGTAAATGTTATTTATTTTCAAATTTTTCGCGCAAAAATATTTCTTGGAGTTGAGAAACGATTCTGTGAAACAAATAGTATAGATATCAAAGGTCGGAGCCAAACATATTGGAATTCTGATATGATAGATTGCTTACCTCTGTAGTGTGGAAACCGACAATGTCCATTCGCACAGCATCCTGTCGAGAAAATTGCCGTTAAGCCCGTGCGTGCAACCCATTGTTACAAAAGTTGGACGAACTTGCGATACCTGTTCCACCGCCGTAGGAGCATGCCGCAATGTTAGACTTGTAAGGGTCCCGCAACGACTCTGCGTTGTCAGCCATAGCGGAAATTGTTTCACTTGTTCGAATTCAACGAATGATTTGGCAGAATTTTTCACCTCAAGCGTCAAGCTGCTGCATTTCCCATGAGCATGCAAAGCGCTCTTGTTTGGATTAAGTAGATCTATGTGAATTCCATAAAAATATTTGACTATCCAATCGGGAACTATACGCTTTTCGTTAGTTAAAAGTCAGTACAAAATCTGGACGTTGTTTATTATAAAAAAATCCATCATATGCTATTGCAGACACCATCGAACCTTTGTACTCTGCGGATTCCGCTGTAAAACCTGTAAATCCACAAGTTGGTTCAGCAGCGCAGTATGAGTAAGTTTTCAGCTTTTTCAACCGAATCAACTACCCCGTTGTTCATAGACTGCCTTATAGAGTGCAGCAAGATGAAGTCGTCATGATGCCTCATATCTCCACTGAGGATTTTGATGATATATCTATGGAAGATGCTGAAGCGAGACTTTTGCCGAGAGGTGAGCTCAAAAATTTCGCTTTCCATCCCTGATTAGGTCATGGCTTTAGGAATATCTGTTGTTTCTGTAAATCGACAGTGTGGCAGTCGGGCCAGCCTGGCTAGCAGGAAAAGCAGTTTCATAGATTCCGTGCGAAAGCAGTTCAGTCGGTGAGTAATCCTAGTTTAGGCATACGTGCCTTTGCCTTTTATGCAAATCAGTGACTTTTTTAGAGACACTTTTGGCTTCAATATACTCTACCGAATTTTACTGCGTCCGACCACTTTATAAGTCCTCAAAAAGTTG